TGTATATAAAAAACAATGTATATGAATTTTATATGTAAACCAATATAAAATTAAAATATTTTTTAAAAAAAATTTCAAAGAAAATCTTGTCACTTCCTGTAGAAATAGATGTCTACACAAACAACATTTTTTTCAGCCTATTAAGGCTGTAACAGCACACATGGGTGGGGTTGAATTATGGATGTTGATGGTGGTGATAAACTTTTTTTGGCTAGGAAGTGTTAGTTGACAATTGTGATATTACCAAACCATATGACTAGATTATTTCCAAAATTTGTTGAGTAAAAATCAGTATCTTTGACCTTTCCTACCAAAAAACAAAGAAAATTGGCCACAGTCAATGCCTGAGGCTGAGTCTTCCAAGATGGGTGAGGAACCAGCTACACTTGGGATGTGGCACCAAACTCACTGTGTCTCTGTTGTCTTCAGAACTTGAGCATTTGCAGCTGTGAGCTTAGTGTTAGTCACCATCTAGTTAAATGCAACTCATAGTGAGTCTGTGAACATCCGATGGGAGCCTTGCCCTCTCCTGTGTCATTCTCATGATTCTCTGTCATGCTCCATCAAGCACAAACTTCTTTTTAAACGCTTAAGATCCAGTCATTAATGCATAGTGGATTTCAGTAATTAGGCCATTTCTCACAATAGCTTGTTCTGTATGCTTAACTTCTCATTTAAGCCAAGGATGGAATATATCTAGTGTTGTCTTTGTCATCATATTCAGTGTTTAATGAATTCAGGATAAAGTGCTTACTCTTGGTTAATTTTTTTCTTGGTGTAAAAAGAAGTCCCTTTTTACTTGATGATTTGTTTAATCTGTAACATTATGACATTATTTTCAGTTGCATCTTTGAATAATTATACTGTCATAAAAATATTTCCTTGTTTTCTCAGGCTTTAGCAAAACAAGCCAAGATTGATTTTGAGGAACAAGCCCTCAGAGAGAAGGCACTTCATGAGCAAATTGCCGTGGAGAGAGCTCAAGCTCGTTACCAAAAGCATTATTTATTATGTGCAGAAATTTTGGATCACATCCTTGATTTGTCCACGAAAATGGCCGACTATCGAATGTTAACAGACAAGTAAGTAGAAACATGATCAGCACCTTGAAAACAAACTAAAACCATTATCTTTGAGCCAATGCCGTCTCATAGTAACCCTATAGAGGAGTATAGGGTTTCCAAGTCTATTAACCTTCACAGAAGCAGACTGCCACTTATTTCTTCTCAAGAGCAGCTGATGGGTTCAAACCATAAACCTTTAGATTAACAGGCTAGGGCTGTACTTGCTGCACCAAAAGAGCTCTTTAATATATGTTTAACTAAATTTAGTCAAAAAAACAAACAAGCAAACAAACAAACAAAACTCAAAACCTCAATGCTGTTACTAAATGCAAGGGGTTCTTTCCATAGTCACTTGCCAATAAGAGATGAATTGCAATATCCATAGCACTTTGCTGCAGATCTGGGAGGACAGTGTGATTCCCTTAAAAAAATTGTCTCCCTATCTGGGATGATCATTAGTTTTTATATTCTTGGGTTAAATAATAATGTACTAAACAATACACTTTTATTAGTAATGTTACAGAATTTCTACATTTAAAAAGAACAGTTTACTAGTAAACAGACCACTTAAGAAATAGTTAACATATGACTGAGGAAACCAGAGTTTTGAAAAGGAAAATGCTAATCCAGGAGAGATGCATTTCTCTTTGTGGTAAACAGGCAGCTTAGGGTACAATTTACATATGAATGAGAAAAGCGGTTTCAAAGAGGTAAATGCTAATCTAGGATAGACATTTCCTCTCCTGTTAAACAGGCAGTTTAAAGTACAGGACTAGAGAAAGGGAGGGGAGGGGAAGGATTCTAAGGCAAAGTAACTAGCTTTGCAGGCTGGAGAAAATGGATATCAGTTTTATAACTATACTGAAATTTTGATAATTCTTAATTTATTAATATCACCCTGTCAATGCCATCAAGTTGACCTTGATGTACAGCATTACTGTAGGACAGAGTAGAATGTCTTGTAGCATTTCCAAGCCATAAGCTCTCCAAGATCAAATCTATAGGTCTGCTGGCTTTTGGATTCACAGCCAAGCACTTCACCACTGAGTTACCAAGAATTTTTAAAAAGTAATTTAACCTTTAGGAACTGTTAATACTTTAATATTAGAAAATAGGATGCAGTCACACTTCAAGTTGTACATTTAATTGAAATACTGCATTTAAATTGTCATCTCAAATGTTCAGCTTTCATTAGTGAGAGGCATCTGAGCCAAGCCAGGCTATTTCTGTTGCTGCTGTGCAGGATTTAGTCTTCTTGAATCCACTTTCCTGACAATTTCCTAACGACCTCATCATCTGGCCTGACTGGTCAGCACTCACTTCCTCTATGGCTGACCCTGAACCACCATATTAAATTGGGCTGTATGGCTGTGCTTTCTCCCTTCGCCCTATTAGTCTCACTCTGAAGTCTTTTCTTGGTGTAATAATCTTCTTCCCCACTGGCTGCTGTTTAAGGCCAGGAATCCCACTTGTTATAATATCTTTAATATACAACAAAATGCCTGGAATTTACCTTGAATAAATGAATGCTACTTAACACCAGGGGTTTTGGTTCTAAATCTAGTACTCCCTGTGTATGAACATAATAATATACTATTGTGTGTAAAATTTTTGAGCACTATCATAAAATTCTGGCTCTTTAACTTCCATCTCTGATAACAAATGGCATTGCAGCCTCCTCCTTTGTCACAGTATCTACCTGTGCAAATAAAGAGACAGAGCCCTTCACTCGCATATTTATAAATTATACATAACAGTTGTTTTTGTTTGTCAGAATTTACCCTTAGCTGACCCTCCAGCAGGGTTTCAGAGGCAATAAATCACAAGGGAGGAGATTGCCTCTCCTCTTTTGGAGGTGGACTGAAACCACCTGCCCCAGGGATTGAATTATGACTTCTTACCAGTAGGCCACCAGAGCCAAGTAACAGAGATAACTTCAGTATATGGTTACCTTACTATTATTGCAAATTTGATTACCCGTAACAATTCTTCTAAGAATTTTCTACCTAACTCTAACAAAAGTGAGATAATTTCATAAATATAATACTAAAAAGATATAAGGTGTGTCTTTGACTGCTCATTGATTGATTTCTAGCTTTTTCCCTACCTTTGTTTTTTTCTATAGTCTGATTCCGTTTAAGATGATGCAAGACTGGAAGGAACTGTTTTTCAATGGAAAACCCATTTATGAACAAACTGGAGTTAAACAACTTGCAGCTAAGCGCTCTGAAGAACAAATTTTAGAAATGGAGAAAAAGGACTTGCTAGATGAGAAGGATTATGACGAATATAAGGTACAAGCATCTGATGAATAATGAGAGAGAACCCATCATAGCAAATTATTTTCCTTTGACATTAATTTTGTGGTGTTACACTTTGTTCCCGTTTATAAAACAGCTGTTCTATGTTTTCATTTTCCTGTGTTTTACCATATCTTTTACCATATCCTATGATGCCAATTTTCATATGACTAGACTATTAGTTATCTATTATGTATTATTCCAGTAATACTAGAAGAAAAGCCTCAAGCTTAATAATATATTATCTGGGCCTAAAGTCTGCAGAATTTTAAGAATGTTGTAAATTAGTCATTTGTATTTTTCTTATGTAGTCATTTTCACATTGTCTATCTTTGCCTTAAAAACTACTGAAAAGAAGCTATTTCTTAAGTAACTATTACTGAACACAAGGGGTTCTTTCCATAATCAATTGCCAATAAGACAAACAGATTGCAAGATCCATACACACTTTATTACAGATCTGTGAGGATAGCAAGTTGGCCTCAAAGACTGCCTTCCCTTCTGGGAGAGGTCATTAGGCTTTTATTACAGGGTGAGACACCAACTCACTTAACAATGCACTTCTGTTAGTAAAATAAAAGAATTTCTATATCTGAAAGAAAACCATTCATACACAAATACAAGAAAACAGGCAACCTATAAACTAGTTAACATATCACAGAAAAATAGGTTTTTGAAAGATAAGAGTTAATTCAGTACTACCTTTCCTGGTAAACAGGAAGTTTAAACTACTTTACATGAATGACTAAAGAAAAGAAAAAAAGAATTCCAAGGTCAAGCAACTAGCCTTGCAAGCTAGAGAAAACTGATGTCATTTCTGTAACTATAGTTTTATAACTGTCACATATACAGAGAATACTGAACTTATTCATTCCACCCCATCATAACTAATCTAAATAGTGTGTTTTTCACGCAAAATAAAAGAGCACGTCCAGGTTTTATGGACAGTATAAATTAAAACAATATCCATACATTTCATTTTAGTTGTTTTTATCACTTAGAAGAGTTTAGAGTTAGACAGATTAAGATTCTAATGCCTACTAGTTATGTGACTGGCTTTGAAAAATCAAGGGTCGGTGACAGAGGAAGACCCTCAATAAGATGGATTAACACAGTGACTAAAAAAAATGTGCTTGACTATAGTGGAGATTGCTCTGTTGTACAATCTCCACTATAGTCAAGCACATTTTTTTTTAGTCACTGTGTATGGCATGTAGGGCTCTTGTATATAGGGTCACTATGAGTCGCAAGTGACTTGATGGCACATAACAACAACAACAACAACAACAATAACAACAACATAGTAGAGATTTGGAGAGTGAAAGGATGCTGCAGGATAGGGAAAGGTTACCATTGGTTGTGGTTTTTTTAAAATAATTTTAATGAACATTTACAGAGAATTTGGATTTCCATTCATTCATTGCTGCAATTCTCTACCCGCCCAGCTCTCTACCCCTGCACCCCAGTTCGCTCCTCTCTTTCAAAAATAAAAGAAAGACTCCCTCCCTGGTACATGATCCCCCCGCACCCCTCCCACCACCCCAAGTACATTCCACTATGCAACCTTAATTGTGGACTCTTGTGATAACCATAATACCCTATCATACATCGCTTTTAAATTATTCACTCCCTCATCTGTTTCAGTGCAGTATATACAATTTATCCAGTTTTTCCTCAGTCTTACCCCCACCCTGATATCAGTCCCATTTTACACCAGTGGCACCATGCAATATGTGTTCTTTTGCGACTGAGTTATTGCACTCAGCATAATGTCCTCCAGGGTCACCCATTTTTAATAATATTGCATGAGTTTCTTGTTTTTCAGTGCAGCATAGTATTCCATTGTGTGAATATACCACAGCTTCTCTATCCATTTGTTTGTTGATGGGCACCTAGGTTGCTTCCAACTCTTGCTATTGTGAACAGAGCTGCGATAAACATGGGTGTGCTTTTATCTGCTTGGATGTCAGTTATGGTCTCTTTGGGATATAGTCCCAGTAGTGGAATTGATGGGTCATATTTGCAGCTTTTTGAGAAAGCACCATACCGCCTTCCACAGTGGTTGCACCATTTTACATTCCCACCAACAGTGAATAAGGATTCCAGTTTCTCCACAACCTCGTCAGCATTTGTTGCTTGCTGTTCTGTTAAATTTTGCTATTCTGACTGGGGTGAGATGATATCTCATAGTTGTTTTTATTTGGATCTCTCTTAGAGCTAGGGATTTTGAACATTTCTTCATGTGCTTGTTGGCCATCTGAATGTCTTCTTTGGTGAAGTGTCTATTCATGTCCTGTGCCCATTTTTCAATTGGATTATTTACCTTTATCTTGTTGTGGTGCTCAAGTATTTTATAAATTCTAGATATAAGTCCCTTATCTGACATGTTCTTAAGATCACTATTCCTTATAATTGGTTCCATAGCACCGGACAACAAGTAATGTGACCTTTTGACCCTTGTGCACTAGGGAACTCATTTTCCCAGTCCATCAAATGGGATTAATAACATACCTACCACATTTTCTTCCTCTGAAGCTGAAGATAACCTGTGTTAAACATTTATTATTGTTGTCATTGGGTGCTATTGAGTATAACTCATAGCAACTTTATTGAAGAAAAAAAAAAGACCTAAAGCTTGTCCTATCCTGTGCCATCCCCATCATCTCTAACACACTTGAAAGCATTGCTTCCGTCAATGTGCCAATCCATCTGGTTGAGGGTCTTCCTTTCTATATAACTAACCCTCTACTGTAAGGTCGTGGACCCAAGAAAAGGATCAGGAAGTGAGGAAGCTTAAAGGCAGCTTTATTAAGAGAGCTCTCTTGTGAGCTTCCTTGATCTGCAAAGAAAGGCCAAGGAAGTCATGCCCAAGATGACTCCAGGTGGGTTTTTATAACAGAGTCTTAAGGAAAGGGAGAAGGATAAGGACATTTCACTGTAGTTAGTCATTGGTCATGCCAGGTGCGTGAGTCTGTTCAACCTTCTTGTTGACATGCTGCAATTCCCAGTTTTTTATGCTGATGGACCGCCCTCTTCAGTTGATGGATCACAGGACTGAAGAATGCAACACATCACCACAAGGCACCAAAGGATGAGACAAATTCACTATCTCCCCTTTGCCTTGGTTTTGGCCCAACATCCTGGCCTATTTGGTGATAAGGGATGATGTGTTTCTCTTTTGGCTACTTCCTGCTGAGTGAGGGTAGAGATCTGGGGGCTCAGAGGCCAGAGTGAGTTCATCTGGGATCAGTGGCTAAGAGAGAATATGGATGTAGTATTAGCTGATTCACTGTTAGGTTGGTCATCTCCTTGATCCTGTGAAGTAAGAACTTAAAGAGGTATCGAGCAATTAATAACAATATGCTTATGATGATTATTGGTCCTAGAAAAGGAAGAACCCAGGCTAGATATGGGTTCTTGAGCCCATTGGGGAGAAGGCTTGTGGATTTTTGTCTGTTTTTTAATTCTTCAACTAATTTTGTCAATTTAGAGATATTTTCTTCTGCTAGTCCTGATTCATTTATATAGTAAAAACACTCCTCTTTCAGGAATAAGAAAGTGCCCCCTTTCTTGGCAGTCAAGAGATCCAGAGCTCTCTGATTTTTGTGGGTGACCTGTGCTAACAATGTCAACTGACATTGGAGGGAGACTAAGGAGGCCGATATTGGCAGGTGGTCCTCAAAGTCTTGGGTTTAAATAATAGAATCCCCTGCCAGCCCTCTACACGTGATGGCAGAGGCTAGGCTGAGTTGAACCATGATTGGGAGAAATGCTGCTCTTTTTATTTGGAGAGCCGGGAAGAGCCAATTCGATTCAGATTCGCTACACAAGGTGAGCTGGTGTGTGACTGTTGCAGATAAACAGGACTCTTTTGTGGTGGACTTTATACATCTCCATAGAGTCCCATTACACCAAAAGTGTTGTCCTGATTTGGTTGTTGTTGTTTGTTGTTATGTGCAGTTGAGTCGCCTGCGACTCATAGCGACCCTATGTACAACAGCCCTAAACTCCG